AATTTGGAGACTATCGCAACGAACTTGGAGACTATCGCAACGAATTTGGAGATTATCGCAACGAATTTGGAGACTATCACAACGAACTTGGAGACTATCGCAACGAATTTGGAAAATCGCAATGCGAACTTGGACTATCGCAATGCGAATATGTAAATCGCAATGCGATAGTCGAAGTTCGCGTTGCGAATCTGGAAACTGATTTGCGATACCTGAGATCGCGTTGCAAATTAGCGATCGCATTGCGATTTTGTTGGTCATTTTGGCAAATCCAAAAAAAGTTGGTTAAAATCGTATATTATAAGGCATTTTTGGTCACTGAGGTTATTTTCTCAAAAATATAATGTATTAAGTTTAGTGAGAAAATTGAAAACTTTTAAAGTTTAATAATAAAAATATGAGAGAGAGTAAAGTTCATTAATAAAATTTGTAATTTACCTTAGGCTTTATATGTTTTATCTAAAAAGAAAAGTTTTTATATGCGATCAAATATAAGATTGATGGCTTTCGCTTAAATTTGATATATTTTCTCATTGAAATCAAAAAATATAATGTTTAGTTATTTTTATTTAATTAAGATATGGTAACTGAGAGTTAATTGCTATTAGACTTTGAATAGATTATTAATGTGACGGTGAATATATAAAATTAAAAATGATAAACTATATAAATGGTCACTAATATTTGAGTAAATTTTCGTTTTCCCCACTGAAGTTTCAAAAATAACAAATCAGAAATTGTTTATTGCTTTGCATGAGTTTGGTTTTATAGCTGAAAAAGACAATGCCGCTTGCAGATTTAAGGCCTGTGATCTTCATATAGAATATAGTCGGAGTTTGGACGCTACAATTACTGCAAAGCTTTCTCCTTCCCCTGAAGACTGTGTTGGTAAAAACGATAAATTTGATAAGTGCATCACTCAAAGGTGTATTGGAGATGAGACTCCTAACAAATTGAAACATCTCTTGCTGCTATAAATCTGCCTGTGACATCAGACAACATGTGTGGAAATAGAGCCATTTGTGGATTTTACGAATCCTCTCGAATCAAATTCCTACAGAGTATTATTTGATTATTTCTTTTATTGAAGTTTTTCTTTATAAATAATTATTAAACATTTTCAGGCCACTGGAATGATGCCACAACGAAAAACCAGTAACCGGAGATGCATCATTCAACTCAAAGGTTATGCATGTTCACAGCTTGTGTATAACCATTCCAGAAAGGCCTTCTACTGCAATCAAACTATATAAACACATCAGAGAAACAATCCCCCAAATCTATATTGTTTTTTTTTTCTTCAGATAACACCTGCAGTTTGCAACATTATCTTCAAATGTGACGAAGACTTCACAAAATCACATCATAGTTGTTGGACCAAGTAACTCTAGTTTATCAGAGTTATCCTAAAGGTATAATTTTCTCCCCTTATTACTAATTTAGCTCTTTTTAATAAGCTTAACTATCTATCACCGTATTCATCTAATTGAATAATTGTGCTCTCCTTTACTAATTATATCCAAATAATTGTGTTCGTTATAAGGGGAAACTAACCTTCATTTAGAGCACCGAAATCTGACTGGTGTGTCTTTGAAATGGAACATGGGTGAAAGATGCAGTCTCTGCATGTGCACGAATCTCTCCAGAATTGGAATTGAAGTGCACTCGGAATTTTATGTACTAAAAACTATCATACAACACGCAGTACCAAGCTACACATCTTTGCCCAAATGAAACTTATTACGAAAGGGACGAACAGTTAATGGAGCTTCAGATGACCGCTTGACGGACAACCATTTCTTATCAACCACGTGATAAGCCTGGAAATCTTCTTTACAATCACCCGACCAATAACGATCTGGAGCAAAGAGAAAATAGGCAACGTCGTCCGCGATCACCGGTGATGCCTTAGACCAGTAGCCAAATTCTGGATCGAGACATTCCCATGATCCACCATCAAGGAGGAAGGCATGAAGAGAATTATTGGGACGGAAGTGAACCAGCACTCGATGACGGGGAGAGTCCAAGAGGACAGGGTAAGATACGGATAGATCAACCAAATCATAAGGGGCCGGCAATTTATCCCAATGATTTCGATCTGTATCGAGAACCTCGGCAAAATGACCACCAGAACGTCCAGTTGACCCGAAGACGTAAATCCTTCATCGTGTAGCAATAACCGCCGGTGAATCCCGCGGGAACAACATCAAAGGACCTATCTTCCATCCACGATCAGGGCGTGCACAATCAAAGTAGAAAACACAGTTATGGAAGTGTATTTGGTGAAACTTTTATTTGGTAAATACCAAATTACAGCCGTCGGTTGCTCTGATGCATCAGATAAGATCTTCACAGGAGGCATTGACAACGATGTTAAGGTTTGGGACTTACGAAAAGGTGAAGTAACCATGACACTTGGTCATCAAGACATGATAACAGGTATGAGTTTGAGTCCTGATGGTTCCTACCTTCTCACCAATGGCATGGATTGCAAACTCTGCATGGGATATGCGCCCTTGTGCTCCACAGAATCTGTGTAAAGTTTTTCGAAGGCCACTAACACAATTTCGAAAAGAACTTGTTGAAATGTGGCTGGTCACCAGATGGAAGCAAGGTCACGGCCGGTAGTTCGGATAGGATGGTGTACATATGGGACACAACTTCTCAACGGTTCATGCAGTAGCGATAAACAGATTTATCTAGGGGAGATCTGAATTGTGCCATAACCGATTGTTAGTGATTGCAAGAGTAATCTTAGAGAGGTCTTATTGTCCTAAGTAGCCTTTGGAAAGTTGTATTTTCTCTCAGTAGTTTTGACTCTTGAGAACATATCTTTATTGATAATGCAATAGATTTTGTTCAAAATTCTCACGTTTAGCCATCTTCATTGATTACTTTTAGCTGTAAAATGGGAGCACCTTTTTTTTTCTCTCAAAATTTTTATTTTAATTTGAGAATGGAGTTCTAATTTTTATTGATTATAATTTTGAGAATCAATTAAATATCCGTACCAAATGTTGTACCCATATAAGCTGAGTAATATTCCAGTGCAGTTTGTTTGTTTTTAATAGATTTGTGATACAGAACGGGAAAATAATTAAAAATTTAAAATAAAACAAGACAACAATTTTTGTATAGACAATGGAATAAAAAGTTTCACATGTTTAATAAGTTGCCAACCCCTTTACCTATAGGCTATTATTTCGTAGAGTTAATTCTTCTACCCCTAAACATGTAGAGGACTTCACAAAACTCTCATCAATTAATCTTCGATTTTTCAGAAATATATTTGCCGATGAGTTAGTATTTGTTGTTTTTTGTTTCTTCAGTACATTTAGTTGTTTTTAAATTTGATAATTGAGTTGAGTAGTTTGTGAGTTGTTTAAATTTAACTCGGTCAGAACTCGATCAACGCTCAATTTAGATTGACTTGAAATCTTAACGAGTCGAGTCAAGCAAAATTCAACTCTACTCGATAAGTTTGCAAGCAACTCATTAATTTTTATAATTTTTTAGGATGTTATTTGTCTTATTTTTAAGATTGATTATGTATTGTTAAACCTTTTTTTTTTTCAAAAATGATTTTAATATGTTGGTTTGGTGTATTTGTGGATTCTTACTTTAATTATAATGAGTTAGTTTGGTGAATTTATAGACTATTAATTTGAAGTTTAAACTTTTGAACTGTTTCGCATGTTATTTTAATTTTTTTTTTAAATTTGCCTATTTATATTTATATTAAGCTTTATATAGTATTAATAGATTATGTATATATATTTTTTTTAAAAAAAGAAAAAAGTATAACGAGCTTAACAAGCAATAAGTTTTTTAACAAGTACGAACCGAGTAAAATTTTATCGAACTTAAGTTAAACATGAGTCGAACAATTTTTGAATTGAATCGAACTTACTCTACTTATGATTGACTCTCTTAATAAACACCCCTAATTATTCCTATACTTGTCATATTCCTTAATTATTTCCAGGTGGAATTTAAGGTCTTGTTTTTATAACTTTAACTGTGGCTTTTATTGTCGAATCTATGAAAAGTCATCATTATAAAAAATAATTACACAAGTAAAAGTTAAAATAATAAATAATGAGACACTTGACATCATTGGAATATTATTTAAGAATTTTTTTTTTCTATTACTAATAGTCAAAATCGGTAGAATAATGCAATGGGAAAAATTCATGGATTGCTATAGTGATCCACGAGGTCGTCGACTGCTCCGAACGATCAATATAGGTCGTCGACTGCTCCGAACGATCAATATAGGTCGTCATGTGCTCCGAACGACTTCTATAGGTTGCACAGTGCGTCTTCGGCTAAAAGTCTAATTACCGATATAGGTAATCGTTGTTACATAGGGAAATTTAAGTAATCGTCGTTCGGAGCACATGACGACTAACGTAGGTCGTTTTGAAGACATGGCGACCTATGTAAAATTGTAGCATTCATTCCATATGGGAAAATAATCCTTCAACTGCATTATCTGAGCAAAATTTTTTTACGTTGCATTATTCCACAAATTTTGCCATTACTAATTGTAATATTCTGCTCATTTTTATTTTATTAATAAAATTTTTCTTAGTCAACAACATATGTATTCTATAGATGTTGTTACTTAAACACGAATTCTTTAAAGAAAACAACATTTTATTTATTAATAAAGTCACTCGAATTCATTAAATTAAATGTTGAATATTGAAACTCAAACTTAAATTATACTTTAAACAAATCGAGATTTTCAACCTTATTTTTCAGACATGTTATATTTATTCAAATTCTTTCAAATTTTAAACAAACATTTAAGATTAGACGGATAACTCTTGAACGAAACTTAATAAAATATATATAAATGTGTAAGATCAAAACTAGCCGTTTACAAGCTTATACTTTATTAGTTGGCTCAACGGTCACATTTCCAGCTTGTCCACTTTAAAGATTCGAACGTTAGCTCCATACCCTATCGCTCTATATTACCCCTCTTCTCTTTCCCCTCCATCAAACACTGAAATCTCTCTCTAGAAAACAGAATTTCGAAACAGAAATTTTGTTTCCTTTTTTTAGCTTTTTATTCGAAAGCTTTCTCTCTCTTCAATGGGTCTCTCAGTTGAAAATTCAGTAACACAATCCCACACCCGAACCCACAAAACCTTCCTCATCACCAACTACATCCTCTTGGGAGCAGCCTCCGCTTGCATCTTCCTAACCCTCTCCCTCCGCCTACTCCCTTCCCTCTGCGGATTCTTCCTTATCCTCCTCCACGCCATCACCATCACCTCCGCCGTCTTGGGCTGTTCCATTGTCACTTCGGGGTCCAACAAGCGCTATGCGGCTCACATGGTGGCTATGGTGCTGACTTCGATATTCCAGGGCTCGGTCTCGGTGCTTATACTGACCCGAACTTCCGATTTCTTGGGGTATTTGAAGTCGTACGTGAGGGAAGAAGAAGGGGAGATGATATTGAAGTTGGCTGGGGGGTTATGCGTGGCTGTATTCTGCTTGGAATGGGTGGTGTTGGGGCTGGCTTTCGTGTTGAGATACTATGCTTTTGTGGGGAAGGACATGGGGTTGGCAATGGCGGCGGCCAATCGGCGTACCAGAGGAATGGGAAAGTTGCAGATGAGGATTTGAAGAACTGGCCTTGGCCTTTCCAAGTTTAATTATTTAACTGCAGCCATATATATATAAGCTTTTGTTAGCGGAGGGTTCTCCATACGATTTCATTTTATTGTATTGCTTGTTCATCACCAGTTTGAGATCAGATTGGTCATTCGTTTAATTATTAATTTATTGAGTGTTTGTTGATTTAGTAGTTAACTTTTTACTTTTAAAAAATCAAAGCAATTCTTGAGCATATCAAAGCAATTCTTCAGCATATCTTTTAAGAATTTATAGTAAAACTTCATAGTAAAGGGGCTGCAATTCAATAATTTTTAACATGAACTGAACCATAGCTTGGAGGGACTGGCTCTCCATAGCTCAATTGATTTGACACGAGCTCAAAAAAAATTGAACTATGTTAAAAATTACATCGTCCCTCACTGAACTATATTCTCTTTCCTATTTTCGTCACCCAACTTTTAATTTTTCTAATTTACTCACTAAACTTTACAAATTGAATCATTTTTGCTCACTCCCCTGTTATCTCTCTAACGTCGTTAACAAAAAGGCTAAGGATGCCACCACCGTCGACCACAGCAGATGGTGATAGTTCGGTCTCAAATTTCATGGGTGGCTTTACCTCGACACCGTGAGTCCGGATCCGACCTCCATTTTGTCAGAACTTGCTCTGAAGTCCACGATTTTAATATTGAAAGTGAGAAAATCGAAAAATTTTGATCTAGATTAATGAGATTTGGGATATTTTACGGTTAAATAACCACTAGATTCGGGCTCAAGGGATCGAGATGAACCAACTCATGAAATTTGGGATCGAATGGCGACCATCAATGACAGTGGACAGTGGACGAAATGAAAATGACGTGGTGGCGGAATTTCTTGTGCCATGTCATAACACCGTTAAATGGTTAACGACAGAGTGAGCAAAATGATTCAATTTGTAAAGTTCAGTAAGAGTAAGCAAATTAGAACAATTGAAAGTTGAGTGGGGAAAATAAGAGACAATATAGTTCGGTGAGGAATGATATAATTTACCCTAACACAAAAAATATTATTTTTTTAAAAAAAAACCCTAATTTTTTTCAAATATTAAAAAAACCCAAACTTTTAAAACATTTATTTTAATCCCTTTACCACCGTCGACCACTAACAACACAATCAATCGACCGAATACCCAAAGACGTGTGATCGACCAACCACCCACGACGAAAACTCACATACTTTCTCAATCGATCGAACACCAAATCTCTCTAAATCTATAAATTCCTAAACAAAATCTTTCAAAACCCTAAAATAAAATCTTTCATTTACACCATTTTTGGGTGTTCGATCGGTTGTGAAAGTATGGGGGTTTTGGTTGTGGGTGGTTGGTCGGTCACACGTCATTGGGTGTTCGACCAATTAACAACGTTGGTGGCGGCCAGCAGTGGCAACGAGATTAAAATTAACGTTTTAAAAGTTTTGAGTTTTTTTTAAGATTTGAAAAAAATTAAGCTTTTTTTAAAAAAAACATTTTTTTATTTTTTAATGTAAATAAAAATTCTCAAAATTACCAGAACGTGAGACATGTCACTTAAAGGAGGTTTTTAACGGCGGTTAACGTCCGGACACCTAAAATGGTAAAGGAAAAAAATTTAGACACCAATTTTTAACGAAAAATTTTTTAGGCACTAAAACGTTTTTCGAGGCATAGTTTGAGACTTATTTTTGTATTAAGCCAAAACCTTATATTTTATTTTTTAAAAAAAAGGTAAAGTGCACAAATGGTCCCCGATTATAGAGTATTGTTTTGTTAAACTACTTGATCATTAAAAGTTACAAAATGATTCTTTGACTATGGGATGTTGCTTTGTTGAGTCCTCCAACTATTAAAAGTTACAAATTGGTGATTGTCTGAGCTAGATGTAAGCTTGTTAACTGAGATATGATAAAATCTAATCCCAAAATCGTTTGAGTTGTATTTTGTGAATAGATTCTCCATTTATATTATACCATCGAGCCAGTGCTTAAAAGCAACATCGGTACCAATAGACATTATAAAATATGATTGATCAAATCTCAATCAACATGTTAACGTTCAATTCATACTATTTTCAATTTTTTAAAGGAAAATGATGAGTTTTGAACATATGAATAGTTGAATGCCCATTTTATAACTTTTAATAGTCGGGGGACTCAATAAAATAACATCATGAGGGACCATTTTGTAACTTTTAATAGTCGAGAGACTAAACAAAGCATTACCCTATAATTAGGGGACCATTTGTATACTTTACCCTTTTTAATAAATAACATAAAATATTAATATTATTCATAATTTAATTTAAAAAATTAATTTTTTCATATATTATTTTTCGAGTCGGGTATCAAGTAGTTTACTTTGACTGATTAAGAATTTGAATCGAGTCTAGTCGAATTAAATGCTGGTCGAACTATAATCGAATCGAACTCGAGTAACTTGTGATATATCTCTAAGGAGGGATACTTGTTGGATCATGCTTTTATTCGTTAGCAAATTGTCATTGGTGTGTTGATCTGCAACCTGGATTGCTTTGATGGCTTACTCTTTTAGTCAATAACTGACCATGTTGGGCTCTTGAGCTTAGACCATAGCTTGCTTTAGTATTCATGGCAAAAGTATTGCATAAGTCCCTATACTATACTTCAAATTGCATTTTGGTTATTTTACTAGAAAATTAATTAATTAATCCGTATACATTTTATATTGAGCAAACTTGTTCATCAATTAAATTTTATACAATTAAAAGATTAAATAAGATATTAATCATTAATTTAATACGGTACGTTACTATCCTTACAATAATTAATAGTATCTAATAATATAATGATCATTTTATAATTACATAAAGATTATAAAATTTATTTTATAACCTTTTAAAGGTTAAATAACTAGAAAACGATTTCAGCTTTACTTAATTATTTAAGAATATAATAAATGAAATATATCAGTGTAAATTATGATATATAGAATTTTAAACAATTTTTGATAAATTATGATAAAAATTTTGATTGATTTAAAATTTGACTATGGTTTAATTTAATTTGATAAAAAATACCCATTCGAGTATATCATCTGAACTCAGAACAATTTAAATATAAAGTGATTAAATTAAACAGACCTAAACCTGAAATAATCCAACCCTAAAATATCCAAATTTTTTAAAGCCAAAACAAGCCCAGCCTAAAATCAACTCAAGCTCAAGTTTGGATAGAACAAACTAACATTGAATTTGATCAAGTTGATAGATTACTTCGGTTTCATTACTAATGGATTATAAACATTTATTATGTAGTTGAAAACTTTAACTTGAATTCGACTGAGTGAAAATTGTTCAGGCAAACATTATACGGGGAATTTAAAGAGAAAAATGCAATAGCTTCACCTTGTTCCTTTCTAACTCTGTTGCAGGAAATTGAAATCGCTATTTTTCAAGTTCATCAAACTCGAGGCTTAGAGCTGAACTTCTCTGTCAAATATCCAGCTGAATGGAACCTTGGGTGCTTGCTTGGCCCTTCCTTGAGCTCTCTCTTCCAGCCTTCGGATTCTCGGAGCAAGTCCACACACATAATCCTGAGCTTTACGACCCTCAGCTGAAAGTCCAGTTATCTCCATCACCCTCCATTTGTTCACCAGGAACTCTAGTATATCAGCATAGTCTCTGGCAGTGTAAACCCCGAGTTTTTGTGCAACGGCTGAGAAATTATCGAAAAGGTTGTCGTCTCGGCCATCATACATCAAGTGTGCTGGCATGGAGATTTTCTTCCTCATCATGTCAGCAAATGCCAAGACCGTTCCATCAGGATCGATCTCAAAGAGCTTTTCAACGATTTTAGTATACGCAGTCTCGTGGCGCTTTTCGTCTGAGGCAATGTTACCACATATTTGAGCCAACTTAATGTCACCAAGCTCCTTTGCGTGTCGGGCTGTATTCCCATGGGAGATGAATGTTGCTCTTTCTTGGAATGACGTGTAGATGAATCCAAGATATGGATTGTTCTCCGTACGTGGATCCTATAAATATACATAAGAAGAAACTTTAAGTATGGCATCTTGCATGGTGGTACACAGGGAAAACGACATTACGGGGTCGGTTTCTACACGATTTAGTGAAATTCCAGAAGTCTTATAGTGCCATGCTTTAATCCAAATAAGAAGATGAACAGCAACAGATACGATAAAGTTTTGTGTCTTAAGTGCATCTTAGGTTTCAAAAATAAAGTACGAGACGTGAGAAAATTTATAGAATGCATCATACTTACCATCCCTGATCCAATCAAATACTGGACTGTCTTCTCAATTTGCCTCATGTCAACTCTTCCAGACAAGTAGAGATACTTATTAAGTAGATCGCCATGCCTGTTTTCTTCAGCCGTCCATGCCCGTGTCCATATCGCCCAAGAAGTAAGGCTAGCACCTGTTTCGTCAAGAACTCCATCTAAGGTATTAAGCATGGTTTGGTAAGTTGGAAGAGCTTCCTCCGTGATCATATCACCAACCAAAACAACAAAGTAGTCATCCGGAATCTCCTTTGCCCTTTCCCTAAGTTCTTTGACTTGCTCATAAAATCCATCCGACGCAGGATCCGGAAGAAAATCATGGGGTTGCCAGCATTTCTCAACCGGTTTGAGGTATGTTAGAATGTTGTTCTCAGCCCAGTCCTCCAAAGATTTGAAGATCTCAATCTTCTGAGGCGGCATCGAGTGTGTGACCTGAACATGCACCTCCCTAGGCGGCATGAAAGGCTTTTTGGGATTGTCAACCTCTCTGCATTACGTGAAACAAATTTCGAGATAACATTCTTATCAATCAGAAATGTCAGTAAGAATTAAAAGGCAACAACGAATCATAAACACACAAAACCCATCTCATAAATATGGTTACTACATGTACCAGGAAATCCAGCACACTGAAACTATAAAGCAGGATGTTATGGAATATGCAAAAGCAAAGTAATGAAAAAGGCCATATATGTTGGCCAAATAAAAGCAGCTTTATCATGTGCAACATGTGAATACGCTGATTATACAATCGGTCTGAAATAAAAGGGTGAATGTAAAGATTATCAGAATTTTGAGTAAGTAATGTGTAAGCTTCAAGGGAATTTAGATGATAAGAAATATCGATCTGAATGATGAATGTCAAAGTGCACAGCGGAAGCTTGAAACCTTAGAAACAATCCTGAGAATAAACAAATAGATGTATTGAAAATAAGGATGACATGAATGCCAGAATTCTGCAAAAGGTTTAAGCAAAGAATGGGTGAATACTATGAACCGCTTGGCAAGTCGGAAAAATTCCAAGTACTTAATAGGCTTTAATTCGAGTAATTAGTTACTTGGCTGTAAACTAAAACCCAAATTTGTGTTAAAAATGGTGAAGTCAAAGGTCCCAAGCAATCCTCTTTGAGGTTAGAAGTTCACAATCAAAAGAGAGATCAGAATGTTAGAATCGTTGGCATCAAACTATTGTAAGGACCAACAAGGCAGCAGACGAAGCTGTGAAACTATTGTAGTTAAGTGAGACCATCCAAGAGTTCATCTGATTAGATTTAAAGTGCAACCATACACAATTAATTAAATAAAGACCACCCAAGAACAGTAATTAAATTATCAAAATTTACATTACCGTTTGTTTATCAGAAAAGTCACAAGTCGCTATCAGCAACTCTCAACAAACACAAGAAAAAGAGAAACTTACACCAAACACAAGGAAAAGGGCATCAAACAGACAAGAGAAAATGAATAGATGTCTATAATCGTCATTTCCTAGCACGGTATATGAAACCTATATCAAGAATGGACCACAAAGATGCCAAAAACTGATACTACAAACAAAACTCAAGGAAAATTACTTTGAATGTTCATTTTCCACTACATGAATATTCAGCCATGCTTAAAATTTGCTTGACATAGTAATGGAAGAGAAGAGTGTTGAAAGAATTAAGACTAATTTCAGTAATTATATTTGCCAAACATATACAAAATGATACAAGTTAAAGACAAAATGAGAAGAAAGTGTACCACATACTCGGTTTATTAAAACGTTAAATGAAGTAGATTCAAAGGAGAAACATCAGGATTTTCAACAAATTGTGCAAGAAAAAGAAGCAATCATGGCGACATTTTATTCCTAAAGACCACAAGTAAAGGGGGGGGGGGACAAGGAATGAAACAATATAGAATCAAGGAATGAGGTCAACATATTCTGAACTACCATCAAATTGAATATTCTTTTCAAAATATGGATTCAATTATCTTATGTTACTCGTCAACATTAAAAACCAAATATTTGACTTTCCTTGAAAGCTACTTACAAGGGAAAATATAATAATTTTCGACATTGCTTTTGTTTTACATCTTTCTTTGAAACCATCCAAAGCACATTAAAAAAAAGAAAGCTGCCTCCATCAGAACAAGAAATTTATACGTATCTTGCAGTCAAATCAATACTAAAAACCACCAAGAATTATGCGTACCGAAATTAATATACTTGAGAATATACTAAAAAAGATACATAAACCACTTTCATTCTCATATTCATAGCAGGCGATAATTCCAATGAAGCCTCAAAGTCTTAATTTTGATAATGAAAACATAAACCACCCACCAAACATGCAACCACAAAAAATATAAAACCATAAAGATACTAGGCAAATAAATCCACAAAAAGGACCAAAAATTATTGAAAGTGCAAGCGCTTAATAAGAAATCAACCTTATTTCAATGGTTTCTAAAAAAGTATCACCCCGAACGGAAAAGAACTACATTAAAGACCATTAAATACATTAGGGACCATTAAGCAATAAGAACACTAAGATCAAAGAATTACATCAGAGACCACTGAGATCACAAGATATGTCAAACAAAAGAGAGCAAAAAACCAAGTTAGTTCGCATAAACAACAAATACCCAGATACGAAATCAGAAAAAAATGAAAGAAAGTAGTAAAAAAAAACCCAGGATTTAACAGGAAAACATTGAAGATATAACAATGAGTACAGAGGCCACAGAAAAGGGGAAAAGGACAAACTTGTAGCCCGAACGAAGAGTGGAGGCCATGAAGAACTTGGGAGATCGGAGGTTGGCCATTGGAGGAAGAGCAAATGAAGGGAGTTTGTGAGATTGATAAGTGATGGGATTGAATTTCAGAGACATTTCTGTTTCGCTATTTTGGTTTGAGTTGTCGAGCTTTTAGCAGCTGCAGTTTTCCTCCACAGAAACTGAAAAAGAAGGCTACGCTATTTGAAAGAATCCCGGCCTACTTAAGAGATACTTAGCTCGTTTAAAATTACAACATTACCCCTTACTTTCGTTTTAATTACTAATTACCCATTCATTTCTTCGTGATATTTATTACATAATAAATATATAATATAATTTATATTCTTATTTGACTAATTAGGCACTGACTAATAACTTATTCAATGAATAAATATTTCCTATATTTTCAAGAGGTAAAATATCAGTTTTCATCCATTTTAGTATTTAAACTTTTATTTTTTTCAAAATCATATATAAATTTAATTTTTGTTTCATTTTTAGTACCAAAACTTTAGTGTTGAAAAATTGAAAGTTTATGTACCAAAACACATTTAGCACCTAAATCATACTTAAGATTTGGAGAAAAAAAAGAAAGTTTAGGTATTAAAACGGACCAAAAATAATAGTTTAGGTGCTAAATGCGTTAAGTTTTTTAACGATCGGGTACTAAAATGGAACAAAAACTAAACGTTAGGTATGATTTTGAAAAAATTAAAAGTTTAGATACTAAAACGAATCAAAACTAATAATTTAGGTATTAAATGCATAATTTATATATTTTTAAAGGGTAAACTAGATCATTTATGTTGGAGTAAGTTTTCATTTTTCCTATTAATGTTTTAAAAGTTAGAAATTACTCACTAACATTATCGATTTGTAATAAAATGGCCACCCTACCGTCATCTCAATTAAAGTGAGGTTTTGACATTGTTAACAAAAAAGTTAATATTTATTTTTATCCCTAAACTACTATTAAAATACCAAATAGGTCATTGAACAATAATTTTAATCAAATTTACCCCAAAAACTTTCTAATAAAATATGATATAATAATTAACAAGCTTATATTACCTGGTTCAGTAACAAATATTTTTTAAAATTCTAAGTTTGGCTGACATGATGTATAAATTTCGAACCACTTCACCTTCTCTCCCAACTTTGAGTTTGCTTTGATTGTAAAAAATGCTCATATTTCACAAATTCATAAGTTATGAATTTCATTTTTGCAGGCCATTTTAACCCATTGGAAGCCATGTGCAAAGCAAGTCAGCTCGGGAAGAAGCTGCTTGCTTAGTTTCTAAAATTGTCTGGGATTTGTCAACTCCCTTTTCAGCTTTCTGTAATTCTTCATAAAGAATGTTATTCATGGCTGTGTTTTTCATTCCAATTTCATTGCATTTCATGATTTTACCTTTACAACAACTTACGACAAGTACAATTTATTTAAGTAAAGTTGGTAACATCCACTGTTGCTCTAACAACAAGTATATTTTATTAGAAAGTTTTTGATGTAAATTATATATAAAATCATTGTTTAAGGACCTATTTGATATTTTAATAATAGTTTAGTTATAAAATTACATATTAACCTTTTTGTTAATGTTTCCACATCATCAATTTGACATAAATGACTGTAGAGTAATTATTTTGATATAAATCGATAATGTTAGTGATCAATTTATTACTTTTGAAATTTTAATAGGAAAAACAAAAACTTATTCAAACATAAGTGACTATTTTTTTAGTTTACCCTTGTCATAACCATTTTTTTGAAAAAAACAATTAAATATTATTTTAAAAACAATTATGACTTTAATTTTGGAAAAATTTGGTAATTTTAGATTGATTTGAATTAAATAGGATAAGAGTCGCCATTTACCTTTGGGTTAGGTAGGTCGAATACTTAAAAACGTCTTTTAAAAACAATTTTAAGAAAAATAGTTTTTTAAGACAAAAATGGTCTGCGTTTACGAATATTCGATTAAAACGGTTTCGGGAGTCGGTTACGTGTGGGGAAGGATTAACACCCCACAACACCCAGAATTGGTACTGTGTCATGTCGTAACCCGTTTTCGTCCAGGCACGAAATATTTATTTGGCGGGAAAATTTATGTGAATAAATGGTTTTGAAAATAATTTGGGAGTCGCCATCGGCCTTTTGGGTCAGGTAGGTCGAATACCTAAAAATTATTTTTTAAAAGAGTTTTAAGAAAACATCAATTAAAAAAATGAACTGATCTGCGTTTATAACCAAAAATTCGTTCTTTTTAATAATAAAAAGGGATTCGTGGTCGGTTACGTTTAGGGAAGGATTAGCACCCCTACAATGCCCAAAATTGGTACTTTTTAATTATAAATTGTCTCTATTTAAAAATTCAAAATATATTTCATTTATAATCCTATTATTTCAAAATTATATAAAAAATATTTATTTATTTAAAAATATCGGAAAAGGACTTCTAGGTGCCTTAAGACAGCTCTTTTCTTTGATATTAATAAATATTAATTTGAATAAAATTAAATAATATTTTTTATAATATTTAATTTTAAAATACCAGAATAGGACATCCAGTTGTATTAAGACTGCCCTTTTCTTTGATATTGAAAAAATAAATATTAAAATAATTTATTAAAAAAATAAATTATTATTTATTATATATATATTTATGACTACATAATAAAAATATTTAAATATATAAACAAGTAAAATTAAAACAATAAAAATATAATTAGAACTATATGAAAATATTTAAAATTGGTGACTAAATTAAATATCTAATTCATAATTAATCAAAATTATAGGGATTAAACATGCTATTTTCTTATTTATTAATTTAGTGACTAAAATAAAACTTATCTAAAATTCGAATATCAGATTAAAATAAATTAAAAATATAAACTCGGGATTAAAATATTAATTATTTAAAATTAAGGGACTAAATCTGTTATTTACCCTAAATATATTGTTTTAATATAAAGGACTAAAATAAATAAAATTAAAATTAAAGATCTGAATTAAAAGGATTATAAATTGATTTAGTGACTAAAATGTAAGGATTACAAATTAGGATGGCTTCGGAAAGGGTTTAACTTTTAATTAATTACAGACAGACCCCTCCCCAAAACGACGTCGTTCGGGGAGGGGTATTTAAATCCCTCAACGGCTGGCCCGAAGGGCCATCTTTCATTTCTCTCATTTCCTTCCTCTCTCTAAACTGAGAGAGTTTAAACTCTCTCTCGCTTCTCTCTAGCTTCCCTCATCGGAGGGAAGCCGGTTACCGGACGGCAGCCGTCTGCCGCCGTGACCCTCACCGCCGACCACCGCATCCGGTGGCCGGAAAATTTTATTTTTACATCATTATGTAGATCGGACCGTCCTAAGGACGGTTCCGGTGCTCTTTTCTCCTAAATAGCTCTCGATCGGAGCAAATCTAAAGAAGTACCTTCGGTTTTCGAAGGTTTTGGTGACGTTTGAAGAGGTCCGGTGGCTTCCTCGGTAAGCTTCTTTCATTTCTTTTCGTTTCTGTTTTGGTTTACTGCTGGTTGTGGGTTGTTGTTCTTTGTTTTTGTATCTTTGCTCTCTGTTTCTGTCTCTCTCCGTCTGTCCTCCTTTTTCTCTTTTCTTCGCAGATGGGGTGATGGTTTTATAGCCATCACCGGTGTGGCCATCGGACCGGGTAAAAGAATGGAGTCTGGTGAGTCACCGGACTCCCAGTGGTGACTCACCGTTGGGACGACATGTGTGCGGCTGGAGTGGCGGCGAGGCTGAAGCAGCGCCGCGTGGTCTTTTGGAAGCTACGGAGGCTGCTGGGACGTGTCCCTAGGGTATCATTACCCTAGGGTTTCCTGCCGGAACCATCTGGACCGTTGGATCATAGCCAGATCCAACGGCTGTGATGCTGGGGCGGCTGACTGAGAAAAAACCCTAATCTGTTAGGGTTAAGTTGGATCTAGGTTGGGCTTGTAAACAGGCCTCCGGGTCTTGGGCTTGTAAAATGGGCCTCCGGGTCCTTTGGGCTTGTAATAATATTTATTAATAATAATAATAATAATAATAATAATAATAATAATTAAAATGAAATGAAAAAAATGAGTATCTTCAGCTGCCCCTCTTTGCTTATTCTTGTGTTAACAAGAATAGAGCAAAGACGAAAAGATAATAAGTTTTTTCATTTGACTTCACTTAATTAATATGGAGATGTTGACTAAATTCTTCTCTTTCTTCAGATGAGTTCTTCTCATTATGAAATTTCCGCTGGGGATGATGTTGACCTATTTCCTTTTGTGATAGAGTCATTTAAAAGGTTGAACAAGTTCTTCTCATTACGAACCTCTTTTTCCTTCTTTAGATGAGTTCTTCTCATTATGAACTTCTTCTGAAAAAGTTGATGCTGATCTATCTTCTTCTGTGATAGAATCATGAAAAGGGTTGAATAAGCTCTTCTCATTATGAACTTCTTCTTCCTTCTTCAGATGAGTTCTTCTTTATCTGGCAATGTTGATCCATCGAGTGATGAATCCAAACAAAAGGTTGAACAAATTCTTCTCATTATGAATTTCTTCTTCATTCTTCAGATGAGTTCTTCTCTATCTGGCAATGTTGATCCATCGAGTGATGAATCCAAACAAAAGGTTGAACAAATTCTTCTCATTATGAATTTCTTCTTCCTTCTTCAGATGAGTTATTCTCTATCTGGCAATGTTGATCCATCGAGTGATGAATCCAAACAAAAGGTTGAACAAATTCTTCTCATTATGAACTTCTTCTTCCTTCTTCAGATGAGTTCTTCTCTATCTGGCAATGTTGATCCATCGAGTGATGAATCCAAACAAAAGGTTTGAACAAATTCTTCTCATTATGAACTTCTTCTTCCTTCTTCATATGAGTTCTTCTCTATCTGGCAATGTTGATCCATCGAGTGATGAATCCAAACAAAAGGTTTGAACAAATTCTTTTCATTATGAACTTCTTCTTCCTTCTTTAGATGAGTTCTTCTCATTATGAACTTTTTCTGGAAAGATGATCCATCAAGTGATGGATTTTGATCTTTTCTAAAATGTTTGAAATTCCTGTCAGAATTTAATCATGGATAAAATGAATGAAAATGCACCTATTTTTGCAAATGCCTAAATATGATGCATGAATGTTAAGTTTGTTTGATTTCA